CCCCCCCGGCGCTGCCCCCCCCCCCCCCCCCAACTGTCCGATGAAGGGCAGAGACCTTGAAGCGGAGTTTCCGGGCTGGGGTAAAACCGGAGGGACCCCTACAGGCAAAACAGGGTGTGGAGGAGAGCAGGTTGTGTTACCCCCTCGGTGCAGCAGGAAATGCTGCAATTCCGCATATGCAAAGGTGGAAATCATGCCCCCACCCAAGCACCCGGGGTCTTTCACCTGGGGGGGGGGTCTTTCAAATGCCCCCGTATCCCACTATTTCCTCTGCCTCCTCCCCCCCAAAAGATTGACTCCTCCCACCACAGACCGAGCCCCACAGACCAGCAGCCTCTCCCCCGCTCCATCAGATTGTTTCCTTTGGAACTCACGCGGCAGCAAGTGACATTGCAAACCGCCCCCCCCCTTTGCTCCCCCCCAACTGATACAGATTCCCCAAACCAAGTGACTTCCCTACCAAAAAAACCCTTCTCCCAACCCAACTGTCCTCCTTCCATTACCGCCGCCACCGCTAGGCGACCCCACTAAATCCTTTGCTCCGTTTACACTCAAGACTGGGGTGGGTCTCTCTCTCCCACACCCAGCAAGCCCAGCCCCTCTCCTGCCCGAGCCGGGCAGCCTGTATCTGCGGTGGGGACCAAGGAGGGTAGGCAAAGGAGCTGCTGTTGGACTCCAGGATGGATCGGGAGGGAGGGGGTGGCAGGACCCGGATTGAGGGAGGGGGTCCCGTACCTCCAGCATCCAAAAAGCCAGCATCTTCCGCATGTACGGCTTGATCTCCTTCTGCACGCAATGGAAGTAGGAGACCCGGGGACTATAGCGCTCCTCCTGGCTCAGCAGGTTCTGCAGCACCCGCCGGTCCCCCAGCAGCTGGGGATCGCGCTCCGCCCTGGGCACGCGGGGGGCCCCCTCCACGCACAGCAGCTCCATGTGTCTGGATCCTGGGGGGGCAGGGCACGAGAACGGGGACAGCCGGAGCAGGGACGGAAGGGGGGGGCGCGCAGGGGAGCTGGCGACAGGGAGAGGGACCCCCCCAGCCGGGGAGCGGGGCTGGGCGATCAAGCAACAGCGACCCCAGCCAGCTGCCTCCCGGCCGCTCTGCCCCACGCTCCCCGCCGCACTGACAGCGCCGGATCCACTGTTACAGTTTTTAGAACGTCGGGAAGTTAATGGGCGGGGCTACGGGCGGGGCCCTGCTCGCGGGAGGGAGGGGGGAGGGAGAGGAGCTGCAGTGCAAGCCCCCTGGGTCCCATGGTGGGCTAAGCGGCTGCCGCCTCGGAGCAGGGCGCCGGTCGCCCGCCCCTCCGCTCCAGATTGCAAAGCAAGTGAAATCCGCCCCCCCACGGTTTTCTTTTTCGCAAGCAATGGCCCCCTCCCCATGCCCCCCCGAAATCCCCTCCGGTTCCATGGCTTCTTGCCACTGCTGCTACTGCACAGCCGGTGGTAAGGGACGCTCATTTTTCATTCCACCCAGTGGATGCAAGCTCTCCCATTGCTGCCCGGGGAAGACTTGGAGCAGTGTTTCTCAACCAGTGGTACCAGTACCCTGAGGGGTACCTGAGAGAAGTCTGGGGGGGTACGTCAACACAACTGAAATTTGGAGAAAACTGAATTTTTGTTTTAAGTTTTACGGCACTTTATTTTGGTACTTTTTACACCCATAAATTTCATTGCCTGCCCAGCTACGATTAAGTTGTTTAAAGAAATGTTGGGGAAAAAATTGTTGTGTCTGAAAACTGTAGGTACTGGGGATACTTATAATTTTTTTTAAATAGAGGGTACTTTATAAAAAAAAGGTTGAGAAACACTGACAGAGTGACCAGACAGCAAGTGTGAAAAATCAGGTTGGGTGTATGGGGGAAGGGGAGGTACTAGGCACCTAAATAAGACAAAGCCATGGGGATAGCTGGTCTTCCTGCCTCAAGACATCAATCACCTGGAAACATCGCCATGCGGCAGTGGTGCAAGGTGACAGCACATCACATGGAATCCATCCGTGTCACACTACCTCAGAGAACATGCCGGGCTGTACGCGAGGCATGACTGCACATTGCCCTGAGTCGAAGAGCGTACAGTCCAAAAACCCAAAAGAAAGGCAAGAGACTGGAATGCAGAAACCCAGATGAGCAAATAACTTGAGGGGAGGGGGTTTGTTTTTGTTATTTTTCATTAGCATTCATTGCATTTTACTACATTATCCATCTTGAGTACAACCACCAATGTTACCAAGTTGCGGCATCAAAACCAAGATTCGTGAGCACACTATGACTATTCCTCGTGGGGTTCATGTTCAAAACAGGACAATCTGGAACTCAGATCCGTTGCCTGCTCTGTTAATCTATTATTTCAGTCTCTTTGATAGTTAATTCTGCCACTTTTTTCTTTGTCTTTTTTTTTGTCTAGCCCTTAGAAGCTATGAGAATAATCAGATAGATGTGAGTCTGTTGAAAGTATGTCTGCACTGGGCTTTTTCCTCCAAAACCTATCCGAGTATTAATGCTAATACTAATGCAGCTGCCCTGGAGACAGCAACATTGGAAACGTGTGTAGATGAGGCTTCGGCAGCCACTGGTGTTAACAGCATGTAATAATGGTTTTGAAAGAATACATTCTTAACTTTTGAAAACTACCCTGAGCTCTTGCCTATTTAGACTAGAGCCTCCTTAGGGCAGGACTATCTCTTGTTCTCTGTTGGGATCTCTAGACGCTCTTGCAATACAAATACTACTACTAATAAACACCTGGCTTGTGTACAAGAGGAGCAACATTCCTCATGTTGCTAACACTGTTGGAGCTGTACCAGTGTTAGCAATGAGAGATTTATTTTTTCACAGCTTTTACTACATGCCTCTGCATACTCAAAGCACTGCGTATGCTCAGCACATGGTTTTCACAAGTTCATAACTTCTTTTAAAACCATTTTTTTTCAAATTTAGCACCGATTAGAGCCTGCTTTCCAGGTTATTTGCCTGTCAAGTGCAAAGACTTAAAGCTGCTTTTGAGTTATCCAAGCTCAAAAGAAGGTCAGACTGCATCATTTAAACGTAAAACATATTTTCCCTTCACAACTACAGAATTAGAAAAAGAGCTGAATGGAATTTCTTCAAGTTTTTGAATAAAAACAAATTAAAATCGTTGTTGAGATTGAGAGTGAGCATGAGAAATTTCAGCCCAAAAGGTCAAACTCTGAGAAAATTCTGAATATGAAAAGAGAGAGTTAGAATGAAATGGCCAGCTCATACGAATTTGGTAACTCCCACAATGCTGTAATATGGCAACTGTAGGAATAGTTGGAAGCTGGGTGATTAATCATATAATCATAGAGGTTAGTGGTGGAAAATACTTTCAAGATCATCTACTCCATTCATTTGCTCCTTATTCTATATTTTAGTGCTTTATCCACTCTGGGATTAAAAGTCTCCAGAGAAGATGCTTCTTCCATGCTGCTTTGCAAAGAGCTACATGCAGGAGTTTATCCCACAGTATTACTGTACTAAAATCACATTAGGTGTGCTGAGGAGTGGTAGCTGACCCATGGATTCAGACTGGGGTGGCCAAGGGTCAGCTGGGAGGCTTGGGAAAAAGGCGTGTAAGTCACCATGCCCAGGAGAAATTAAATACATAGATATTACGGACATGTTGGATGAAGTGTCATGTACCTAAGATGGAATCTGTGATCAGTATTAGCAGGTACTAGATTAGTATACTATAAGGCATTGTAGGAGCATTCGCCTAGACAGCTGGTTGTATAGCATTCCATCTTAATCATCTTAAAAGAATGTAGGATCAAAGAAGTTAGAGATTGAATGATCAACCAGATCTTTGAGTTTATTCTCTCTCCCCCAGATGAATTCACTACCACTTTGAGGCATCCTATACTTTTTCTTGACCTTATAAAAATCTATGTTTAATCATTGCAAAAAATAGGGACTGTAAGAAAAAACATGTTTTAAAAATGTGTTTATTTTTGAGCATAAGCAAAACAAGACAAAAGTCTTTATCTGTCCTGTTCAGGAACATTGACCCTGAAAAGGAAAAAGATAAATAAAAAATTCTTTTTTGATCAGAGGCTTCATTTTGCATCTCCAGAAACATGAAGGTCGTGTACATACCAGATCTGATATGAGGCACACTAGCACTGAAAATTCCATTTACTTCAAGGAACATGGGACCAAGCACTATCTATCTGTGCCATTTCTAATGATCCCAACATCATAACTACAATAGTATCTTGTTCCTGATTACATGACGTGTTACACAACACACAAACAAAATCTTATTGCCATGTAGCAAAGGAGTAAAGCAGTGAGTGTATGTGGAATTATATTGATTCCATCCCAGTCCTAAAACGAAAAAGGGGAATTTCAGTAGGTGATATTAGAGAAACAAGGTGGGTTACTTAATACCATAAGAACGGCCATACTGGATCAGACCAAAGATCCCTCTAGCCCACTATCCTGTCTTCTGACAGTGGCCAATGCCAGATGCCCCAGAGGGAGCGCACAGAATAGGGAATCATCAAGTGATCCCTCTCCTGTCATCCATTTCCAGCCCCTGACAAACAGAGGCTAGGGCTACCATTCCTACCCATCCTGACTAATAAGTAATGATGGACCTAACCTCCATGAATTTATCTAGTTCTTTTTTGAGCCCTGTTAAAGTTCTGGTCTTCACAACATCTTCTGGCAAGGAGTTCCACAGGTTGACTGTGGAATATCTTTTATTGGACCAGGTGGGGAGAGAGAAAAGCTTTCAAGCCACACACTGCATACAAGTAGGTGAGATAACATTCCAAAAATCCACCTCCACTGCACTTTCCATGGGCATGAAATATTTGAAGAATCCATGAAAGCAATTTCTTTAGACCAGTCAGATGGATTCAAACCAGGGTGACCCTCCTGCCCCCTATTCATTTATTGTTGGAAGCGTCTTTTGTATACAAAGTGAAGAGGGCTTAAATCCCACATTTTCAGTAAAAATATGTTATTTTCTTTAGCCAAGCAAAGGGAAACCACAGTGCTGGGTTCTTGGTCCCTACATTTTCTGGACAATGTCATTTGAAATTGAAAGCTTCAGGACATATACCAGACATAATGGGCTCACACATGTTTGCTTATTGTCCCATGGGTGAGTCTAACTCAGCCTGATTGTTAGAAATATGTTGAAGCTGGAGTCAATGCAGTCAGGAGGGTGGGGAAATGAAGGCTATTGCATAAGAGAGAAAGTGTTCCTTCCAGAAGATGACTTGGCAAAATTGATGCATCTGCCAGCCACATTATCAGACTAAAAAGGCAAATTACAGACCTCAGGAGTTTGTGTAGCGGGAAGGAAGAACATTCCCGGAAAACCAAAATTTGGTCACTGTTGATCATGGATAGACAACTTCCTGCCCTCAGTGGTAGAGAACTCAGAAATGAAAAAAAAAAAAGGAAATTCCTTCAGAGAGAAAGAAAAAAAGAGGGTTTCTAGACTTCCAAGATCTCAAGCCAGCAATGTTTTCCTTTGTTGAATCACCAGGAGGATCATTTTTTTGGTATGTAGATGATGAACGAACAGTCACCAGCACTAGGAGCATTTAAAGGGGCACTGAAGCTATAGGGCCAGAGAGTCTGTGGGTTATTAGCAGCTGATATCAAGCTGATATCCAGACCAACATTAGGAAGAAAGCTGAGAAATATGTCAGGCTGTTCATTAAATAAACAGATCCTGTTTGGCCAGACTGTTAATCAACATAGTGCCATTGACTTTGATGGAGCTACACTGATTTACACCACCATGATGTTCAGATACGAGGGGGTTCATCTTCCATACTTCTGGCTTGGTCTTTTGCAGCCACTCTTCATTCAACTTTGAACTGTCCAGGGCTAGACAATCTTCTTCCTTATCTGTCAGACCATGACTAAAACATTGTCAATGATGTCAGAGTGAAACTGATCAACATACATGAAGGTCCCGAAAACCAAACCCACATGAATGAGCAAATAACTATACAATTTACTGTAGGAAATACCCAAAATGAGAGTAAAAAAAGATGTCATTTCATATGTGAGTTTAATAATAATACTGCATACGTTTCATCTTAGGATCTCAAAAAACTTTACAAATCTTAGTTTGTTCAACTTCATAACCTACTTCACCCCTTGAGGC